TATAATATTAAAATATTTATTTTCACAAAGATATGAAACTGTCTAATTATTTAGAATTATTTGCTAAACTTTTTATGTATTACTATGTAATACATATAACGAATTGAGTCTTTATATCATATAAAATATCAAATTTATTTACACAATTTGCTTTAATAATGGAATTAATGATTAATTATTGTATAAATTGTATATTAAGAAGGAATTAATATAACAACAGAAAAATTCAATTTTTATAATGTAGCTGGAGTGCATAATTTTAATTTGGAAAAAGATTGTGCTGGTGCAGGAGGTACAGGACTTGGTTTAGGAACAAAAGTACCATTGCCTCCTGGTCGTATAACAGGAAGTGCTAGTATTGAGACATTAGTCAGAGTAGGTATAGAGAAGGAAAATGGACTGTCACCAGATAGTAAAATGGTCATTGTTCATGATTTTACACCATGTGTTGATGATGAACTTCAAGTTAAACGAGGCCAGGTTAGCAACTTCTTACCTATACATTTTTAAATAAAACTTCAAAAGTGTGAATAACCTTGTATATGTTTGCTCTAGCTGTATATTTTGTTTATATTCATAAATACTGTGCACTAAATATTCATTGTTACCTTTATTTCTATCTTATTTAATGTTGAATGCAAAATGCATCTTTTTCTGTGTTATTTTGTTTATTTTTTGCATGTTCTAGGTTGTAAATGTTTTATATAGGGAGAATGATTGGGTGTATGTAATAGCAGCTGATACACGTATGGAAGGCTTTGTACCACATTCATATTGTGCACCTTACACATCTCAGCTTGCTGAATTAACACTTGCTACTCTTATGAACAATGTGAAGAAAAAATTACCAAGGTCTAATGAGACTGATTGTGATTTTGCTGGTACAGGTCGTTCACAAACAGTAGATGCACAACAAACTGACACTGGATCAGCATCAGATTGTGAAAGTTATGCTCGCAATGTGACTACTGCTGATGTGAATGTTAATAGATCTAACATCACACAATCTCAAAATTCTATTCAAACTATATCTTCACAACCAGATGTACACCCCTTTTTTAAGGTATATGTACAAATATTTTAATTTTATTTATTCAAATATATAATCTAAACACTACATGATTAAGTAGAATCTTTTAGTTTTAATAATTTCCAAAAAAATATATATTTTGTTTATTCGTTC